ATGTGTAAGCCTAAATATAGTCATGCGTGATCTTGTTTGATTTATCTTAACATATAGATTATTAATATATAATTTTTATAATTTTTTAATATACAAATTACAAGATAAAATGGATTAAAGAAGTGTATTGGATGGGGTGCAAAAATGAAAGTGGACAAATATAGTGGGACGGAGGAAGTATATATATATATATATATATATATATATATGTATGTATGTATGTATGTATGTATGTATATATGTATATATATATGTATGTGTGTGTGTGTGTGTGTGTATATATATATATATATATATCTGTGTGTGTGTGTGTGCAGGTCTTCCTCCTCTTCCCATCCTATTGGTGTGATCCTTCTACCTTGTGCTAGTAATTTTGCCCTGCTTCGTGTCATAATCTGTGAAGGGGAGTAAGTCTTTCTGCCCTTGAGTTCCTTGCGAAGATATAAAGGGTGCTTGGGTGAAGAATTGTATTATTCGATGATGATTACAAGTAAATCACCTCCTCTTATATACATGTAGGAGGTATATTGGAAAGGAAACAATATTAAATACAAATCCTATACAATCAAGGAATCTACCAAATATAACAATAATATTAAATATGTGATATATATACTTTACATATTTAACATGCTACCAGCTCCGTTGGTGAACTGCGGACTCCGAGGTTCTGTCTGAAATCGGTGAAGAGAAGTGATGGTAGTCCTTTCGTAAAGATGTCAGCGTACTACAAGGAGGATGGTACATGAAGAACACGAACATGTCCTAACGCGACCTTGTCTCGAACAAAGTGAATGTCAACTTCCACATGTTTGGTGCGTTGGTGCTGGACAGGGTTGGAGGATAGATAGACGGCACTCACATTGTCACAAAAGATGATGGTGGTTCGGCGCAGTGGTTGATGAAGCTCAAGAAGTAGATTACGTATCCAAGTGGTTTCTGCTACGGCATTTGCGACCGCCCTGTATTCGGCCTCAGCACTCGATCGAGAGGTGGTTTGTTGCCTTTTGGAGGACCATGAGACCAGGTTGTCCCCTAGGAAAACACAATAGCCAGAGGTGGAGCGGCGTGTGTCTGGACACTCGGCCCAGTCCGCATCAGAATAGGCCCGAAGAGAGTCTGGCGAGGAGCGAGTGAGAGTTATCCCATGAGTAGTGGTACCGTGAAGATAGCGCAGAACCCGTTTTAAGGCAGTGAGATGAGTGGTCCGAGGCGAATGGAGATAGAGACAGAGCTGCTGAACTGCATAAGTGAGGTCCGGCCTGGTGAATGTGAGGTACTGGAGGGCTCCTACAAGGGAGCGATAGAGGGACGGATCCGCAACAGGTTCGCCTGAGGTGGCAGACACTTTCCCTTTTTGAGTCAACAGGAGTGGAGATGGGCTTACAGTGAAGCATGCCTGCTTTGTCCAGAATATCATGAGCGAATTGAGTCTGATTTAAAAAGAGGCCTTCCTTGGTGCGCTGAACATTGATCCCGAGAAAGAAGTGTAACTCGCCCATATCGGTCATGGCAAATTCGGTCTTCAGACGATCCGTGATCCGTGTGAGAAGGGCGGAGGATGAGGCAGTGAGAACAATATCATCAACATATTGAAGTAGATAGGCCATGTGCGTGCCATGAGAGTAAACAAACAGAGAAGTATCCGTCTTGCACCCCTGAAACCCGATGTGCTGAAGGAAGCCGGCAAACCGCTGGTACCAAGATCGAGGAGCCTGCTTTAAACCATAGAGTGCTTTCCTAAGTTTGCAGACATAGTGGGGCCGGGGTGGATCCTCAAAGCCGGATGGCTGGCTGGCATAAACTGTCTCCTGGAGATGTCCATGGAGAAAAGCATTTTTGACGTCCAGTTGATGGACGGGCCAACCCCGAGACAAGGCAAGACTGAGGACGATGTGAATGGTGGCGGGCTTGATGACCGGACTGAACATTTCGTTGTAGTCAACGCCATAACGCTGATTAAACCCACGGAATACCCAACGAGCTTTGTACCTGGACAAATCCCCTGTAGGGCCAAATTTGTGACGGAAAAGCCACTTCCCTGAGATAACATTTTGGGTGGGGGAGGGGGGTAATAGTTCCCATGTATTATTCTGAATCAAAGCATTAAATTCATCACACATTGCATCATACCAGTTTGGATCTTTTAGTGCACTACGGTAGGTGGGAGGGAGAGGAGAAATGTGGCTGATGATGTTAAGATTAAGGATTTGTTTGGGGCGTGTTATTCCGGATTTGGCACGGGTGGTCATGGGGTGGGTGTTTGGGGGAGTGTCGGACTGAGTGGCAGTGGGCTGGGCTGTATTTTGGGGCTGGGTTTGGGCCGTGGGCTGCTGGGGCTGGGTTGTGGGCTGCTGGGGCTGGGCCGTAGGTTGCTGGGATTGGGCCGTGGGCTGCTGGGGCTGGATCGAGGGCTGTGAGGAGGGAAAGGAATGGGCCGAGGGAGTTGGTGTGGGCTGGGGGTTACGGGTTGGGAGAGGAGGGGTGGGCTGGGCCGCGGGAATGGTGGGTTGTAGAGGCTGGGCCGTGTGGGGGANAAGGGAAAGGTGAGTTCATCAAAGACGACATGGCGGGAGATAATTATTTTATTAGTGGTGAGGTCAAGACAGCGGAAACACCGTTGGTTGGATGGGTATCCAAGAAAGATACACCGGGCCGAACGCGGGGAGAGTTTGTGAGGGGCGGTTGCAGAGGTGTTGGGATAGCAAAGGCAGCCAAAGACACGTAGGTGGGAGTAAGTGGGTGGTGTTTGGAAGAGGACTTCATGAGGAGTGCGTTGTTGGAGTGTGGTGGTGGGGAGAAGATTGAAGACATGGCACGCCATGTGGAGGGCTTCAACCCAGTATTCAGGAGGAAGTTGGGCTTGAAATAATAGAGTGCGGACGGTGTTGTTAACGGTGCGTATTGTACATTCCGCCCGGCCGTTTTGTTGGCTAGTGTGGGGACAAGAGAAGCGGAAGAGAATTCCTAGAGAGTTAAACATATTCTGGAGGGGCGTGTTTCTGTATTCAGTTCTGTTGTCACATTGTACAGATTTGATGGCTGTGTTAAATTGGTTCTTTACATAAGCAACAAAATTAGTTAAGTGAGAAAAAGCATCAGATTTATGTCGAAGAGTAAAAACCCATAAGTAATGAGAATAATCATCTAGTAGAAGCATATAAAATTTAAAACCAGTTATACTATAAACAGGTGATTGCCATAAATCAGTGTGCATTAATTGAAAGGGAAAATAGGAAAGTCTAGCGGAGGAAGTAAAAGGAAGACGAACATGCTTCCCTAACTGAAAAGCATGACACAAATTATGCTGAAGTTGTTTATTAAAAGAAAATGAAGATAAATAAGGAACACTATCTAGAACTGCAGGACTGGGGTGACCAAGGCGTTGATGCCACGTTTGGGCTGAGACAGAAGCAACGTGGGCTTGAGCGGTGGAGTCTTGGGTGCGCAGAGGATAGAGAGGGCCTTCATTATTGCAACGTTGAATCACGGTTCCCGTCCGAGAATCCTTCACAGAAAAACCGTGAGAGTCAAATTCTACAGTACAGTTATTGTCACGAGTGAACTGACGAACGGAAATAAGATTATGAATGATATGGGGGGAAACGAGGACATTGTTAAGGGAAAGGGGTGGGGAGGTGGGGAAGGTGTGTTTACCAATAGCCGTAGTGCTTACTTTTGATCCATTACCAACAGTGATAAAATGTGGAGAATTTAAGCTTTGTGAATAAACATGAGAAATAGTACCTGGGTCTGAAGCGATGTGATGAGTGGCGCCAGTGTCCATGAGCCAGGTGGGTTCACGGAGGGTCATTGTATCAAAATGGTGGGCTAAGGCCGTTGGGGGTGAGGGATTGGGGTTGGGCCGAGGGGGATGATAAGTCCGTTTTGTACGCACTTATCTTCTCTATATTTAATGTGTTATTGTCCAATTTTAGATCAAACAAATCACTTTCTCAATAGTTTTTATAAGTTTTTATTCATAATTGTAAAAGTGCACAAAAGTTATGTCTAGTTTTAAAAAGAATAAAAATTGAGTCAAAAGTGGTACAAAAGTGTATAAGATTGTGCAAATGGAATGCAGCGGAGCAAAGAGGCAAAAGATGGTGAAAATCCTTGCAATGAAAATTGTATATTCAATTGTGGAGATACACCCCGTCAACAGATTTGAGGTCAAACGGATTGAAAAAGTATCAAAAAAAATTGTTTGAGAAGAAAAAGTTTTAAAAAAAAATTGTTTTGATTCAATTTAATTCGTTTGACCCAAATTGGTTCAGAATTTGAAGTCGGCACAGAAGAAAAAGTTGTTCAGAATAAAATTTTTAGCAAGATAGCATTTTTAGAAAAATATTTCGGACCAGATCAAAATCCGGCCAACCAGGCGCTGCCACGTGGCGCGACCTGGCTGGCCGGCCAACTACAGCAGCAAGTAAGTGGTCCAGCCGCCTTCATCACCATTATTTAAAAAAAAAAAGAGATAAAAAGAAGAGAAAGGGAGTATGGCGCAGGCAGCACGCATGGAAGAAGGATAAGGGTGCGCAAAACCATGGTCGCAGCTGGGGCGACTTGTGCAGCGGCCGCCCGGGAGCCCGCCCCAGCAATTCTCACGCCTATATAAAGCGCGGATCAGCGAGTTTCATCAAATCATCAGCTCCTTCCGGGTCTTCTAAGGCCCGGACCAGCTTTCTAGCCCGTTTCCAATTATATTTTAATATTTTTAGTTTAGTTTTGTTCCGGTTGTTCCGAAGTGGCCCCGGCTCTACTCCCGATTGTAAGTTTATTTTTACAACTTTTAATAAAATGTTCTTTTATTTTATGCACTGTTAATATCTAGTATGGGTTAGGGCCCGGATTAGGGTATTGGCTAAATTTGGGCATATACTCTGTATGTTTATTTAATAGTTGGAATAATTGTTCTAGAATTATTTTTATTGTTAAATTAATTAATTATGTTGAGAGAAAAATTAATTAATAATTGAAAATTAGTTTTTGCCTTGTCTATGAGGATGTAAAATTAATTAAGCCAAACTTTTTAGAACACATTAATGATACCTTGAGAGAGGATAAGTTAATGAAATATTTGTGACAGAAATATTATTATTCCAATTATTGATTAAATATGTGACAACAGTAGTTAACTCAGATGATGCCTTGGCCCGAAGTTTAGTCCTATACCCGTACTATTTATTTATTATTATTTTTTTTTCAAAAAAGGCACCGAGTAATTTAGTTTATTTTTATTATCAAATCGAGAAGAGAAGACTTTCAGACCCGTCCTAACCTTCGTCTAGTTAGAAAAATTAGCTAATTCCCTTCGTCCACTCCTCGAGAGACACGACACTCGGAGAAAACTAACCCTTCATTGGGAAGGTTGACTTACCGAAAAAAAACTAAACCGTCAGGGGACCCGTAGGTGTAGGGTTGGGGTTGATTTGGGTTTTGTGAATTCGGGTATATGGGGGGCTGTGGGTAGGAGTTGGGTAGAGGGGTGGGCTGATATGGGTAGGTGGGGGAGGTGAGGAGGGCCTGGGCAGGGAAGGGATGGGTGGTGGGGCGTGGGCCCAGTAGGCCTGGGATGGGGTTTTGGTAAGGGGTTTGCCAGGGTCCAAAGTTCGTTGGAGCAGTCCGGGAGTTGAATCCAGAGTTACGACCTCGACCGCGACCGCGGTTCGGTCGTCCACCACGTCCACCATAGCCGTACCCGCGTCCGCCGTTGCCCTGAGATTGTCCGCCATGAAGCTGTCCGCCATAGGGCTGTCCACCGCCACTGCCGCCCTGCTGCCCACCGCCTGCAGGTGCACCACCGCGGCCCTGCTGCCGGAAACCAGCGTGCCCACCGTGGCCGAGGGTGGCCAGGGCAGTTCCCTCGTCGCCAGAAGCTAGTTGTGGGCGGCGTTGTCCTTCAAGGAGGAGGAGTGCAGATCGGGTTTCCATGAAAGTCGGCGGGGGTTTTTGGAATTGCAGAAAGGACGCCTGTGAACCAAGATCCTCGGGAAGGCCACGTAGGGTTTGCAAGACGAGCTGATTTTCCGTCACCGGGGCATCTACGTCATCTAACCAGTCGGCAATATTCCGCAAAGTTTGACAATAAGTAGCGATAGTGGATGCGCCCTTGACGGTGTTGTAGAAGCGTTGCTCCAATTGCATGGCTCGAGCGGCTTTATTATCGTGAAACAAATTATGAATGGCTTTCCAAAGATCCGCGGCAGTGGTGGTGGAGGAGATAATCAGATCCGAAACTTCATCATTAACGGTAGATAGAATCCATCCCTGAATGAGAGCATCAAGTTGCAACCAATCAACATCATCTTTGCCGGTGGAGGTTGTTGCACCAGTGAGAAAACCTTCGAGATTGAAACGCCGAACCAATAGGAGAAAGAGACGACTCCATTTTTTGTAATTTGGTTCTGAGAAACTGAGGGTTATGGGGACTTGGAGTTTGACGTTTGAAACGGTGGTGAAGGCAAGATGAGGGGTAGAGGGAGGGGTTGATTTTTCGGCTGCCATAGGGAGAGATGGGGGGAACTGCTGGTTGCCGAGGAGGCTAGCCGGCAAGAGAGAGAGGAAGACGGAGAGAGGGAGATCGGCGCTGGGTGAGACAGAGCCGGCGGCGCCGAGAAAGAAGACGTATCGGGATTAGCCTAGGGTTGGCTCTGATACCATGAAGAATTGTATTATTCGATGATGATTACAAGTAAATCACCTCCCCTTATATACATGTAGGAGGTATATTGGAAAGGAAACAATATTAAATACAAATCCTATACAATCAAGGAATCTACCAAATATAACAATAATATTAAATATGTGATATATATACTTTACATATTTAACATTAGGGCATCTTGATAGGTCAATTTGAAGAGGTTTAAGCATAGAGTCAATGAAAACTAGGTCCTCTCCCTCTGAATGTGTGTAGAGAATGGGCCCTTCCCTTTCCTTTCCAAGCTTTTTTCATTCAGCTTTGAAAAAGGATCCTCTTCGTCCAAGCATACTGAATTTGACACCTGATCCATATCCTTGTGTAGAACAGCAAATTTGTTATACGAAAGTGGTACAAATGAAGATGCATAATGAGATAAGAAACGTTTTGGTAGTGGTGGAAACAAATCATTAGAGATGCTGCATTTATTTTTTGTTTCTCCCTTATAAATCACAAATTGTCCCATTGCATCCCTGCCTTCTATCAAAGGGGCGTGAAAATCTGGGTCCCCAATCTCCCTTGAATCTGCTTTGGGCAGGGTTGGTCCCCAAACATTTGACGCACCCTTCCCTCCCTTCAACGGCTATATAGCCGCTAACAATAAAAACATTATATTTCTCCCTCTTTCTCCCTCTTTCTTCCTCTTTCCTTCTCTATAAGTTCAACAATTTTTTTATAAAATTCAACACAAATCAAATCTCTCTCTATCTATCATCTTTGTTTTAAAAATTAGTATTCAAATATTTTATTTATTTTTATGATGAATACCTCTAGTTTTCTTTGTGTGGTCTCGAGCCAAACGAGTACACGATGTGGCTCTTCCGAGCGTACGGGAATAATCTGCCGTTGTTTGAAACACAAACATCTGTGAACCTTGATGACCCGGAGTCGGTTCGAGAGACTCAACCGGAACAAAAAAAAGTGCACGCCAGAAGAGTCACAAAGCGAAAGGCGACAAACCGATGACTGAGGTGGCACGGTCAATTCAAAAGTGGACGTCGAGGAAGAATCCTTGTTGGCGTCGGCTTGGGTTGACATCTCTGAGCATCCTATCGTTGATAAAATTTATATGTTTTTTAATATATTTGTGTTCTTATTTATATATTTGTGTTAAAATATTTTTTTGTTCAATTATGTACTTTTTAAAGGTTCCGAGCAAACAAAGGATGCGATGTGGGATCGTATCGAGAAGTTCTTTGCGGTGATGAACAAGGACACCTCATACCGTACCCAAGACTAACTCACTTCTAAATGGGGCCACATCAACCGTAAAGTCTAAAAGTTTATCGGAGTTTACGAGGAATGCTCTCGGTCCTAGAAGAGCGGGATGAATGATCTCGATCTTCTGCGGCAAGCCACCGCCCGGTATTAGGATGACTCGAACCAACGCAAGGTTGCCGACAATCTTTGGAGAACTTTAAGCCGTTCACCCAAATGGTAACAACTCAACAACCCTGAGGCCGGATCTTCAAAGAAAAGATCCTCCGCCGAGGTTGAGGCCGATGAGACTATCGACTCTTAAGAACATAGGTCTCCCTTCAACCTCGACGACTCCAAGGACGAGGACCTCATTCCACGACCGATGGGAAGGAAGAAGGCAAAATTCATTGTCTCAGGTTCTGGAGGGTTCAACTCCGTTTCCTCTCACGACGAAATCAACCAGGCAATGATTGAAGAACTACGGGTGTTCAATATCAGGGACATAGAGAAACGAAAGCAACAAAAGGAAGAGATCGAAATAATGAAAACCGACATTGATACGTTATCGGACTTTAAAATGAAGTTTTATTTCATTTAATTTTTGAAGATGTGTATTGAAAATGTATAAAAAAAATTAATGGTTTGGAGCCCAGTTTGAAGTCCCGATGCTTCAAACCACTTCCAGTGAAATTATGAGGTTAGTTAAAACTGACGTGGTAGAAAGAAATTTTGAAGCCCCAAATTGAAGCTCCGAGGCTTCATGGGTATTACCAATGCTCTAAGTCACACATGTTTTCATGGAAGTAAAATGACTTAAAGAATAAATAAGTCCTTTATAAATATTCATAAATAGAGAAAGACACTTTTGTAAATAATCTGATCAAAATAGAGAAATGAAAAAAAGTGGTTTAAAAATAAATATGTAAGACCTACTTATTTTTTCTTACTTATAAGAAACTTATAAGTCAGTTTATAAGCAGACAGAAATATGTCATCATCTGATTTATAAGTTAAAAACTGTTAATAAGCAGTTTTGGCCAATTAATAAGCACGGAAAAACACCTACTTAGCAAAATACTCCATTCGTGTTGCTACAACAGGTGGTGCATAGGTCCAAAATCATACTTTGCTTGTTCCAGATAACAGCTTTCACCCGACTAACGAGCACACATAACAGCTTTCAATTCCATGTTTTTACAATCATACAAAACACTAAGATAAGAATATCAAATTTCAAGGAAAGAAACACGGTTGGTCAATTACAAGGTTCAACAAGGCTCATCTGTCTCTCCACAGTCAGGCTGCAATTGAATCTGTTATAGTAGGAACATACAAACCATGATGAATCTCAACTGCTTTCTTTTGCCTTGCTAGGCGAGACTTCCTCCGTGCACCTGTATTTTTGTGGAGGGTTCCAACCTTGACTGCTTTGTCAATAACCGAATATGCATCTGCAATCCATTTCTCCACACACAAAATCTCATCTGGCTGCACATCTTTCTTCTTCTTTATTATATCCAACTCTTCCAGCACCTTGCGTGTATATATACTAAATTGAATTAGCAGAAGGGAAAAAGACTCCAATAGAGAAAAACATAGGAAAAGAACCAAAATAGGACATTCGTGCTTTTATCTCCATAATAAGACTTATAGTTCCAATTTAGTGCCAGCACATATACCAAAAAAATACTATGTAATGTGTCAGTGCAATAATCCTATTTTGGGATAAAAACATGTCACTCCTATTTTAGAATAATGACTATGTTTTACTTTTGTTTCAGGTGATTTCATTAAGCAGAAATGCACATAGTAACAACTCTAGTTATAGCTTTCCATTGACTAGTCTTTGATTAATTCGATATACTTGAAAAAGTATTGCGTTAACTGCCTTTTATCATTAAGAAAGACTGCAGCAGTTGGAAATTATTACAGAAGCAATAGTGCAGTGCTCCTAATGAAGCAAAATGTTCAGACGAAGAGAACACTCTTATTTACCTGGTCTAAAGAAACAAGTTTGTAAAGTATATGCTAATAGTTAGTAACCAATAGAAACAACTGCGCGTGATGCTAGTATTTACAGAAGTATATGATTTAAAAAAAGTTTTCAACTCCAATAACATAGCTCTAATGAATTTTCCGCTCACTAAAGCAAACACAAGTGCACAGCGATAGTGGGAGTGTTTCCGAAGTTTCTGTTTTTGCTTTTTTATGAGACAATAAAGTGATTATTTAAGTAAAAGTGTAGTATTTGAACTTTGAATGTTTAAAGTTCTACTTAAAAGATTTTGAGTTCTAGCAAACCAAATCGATGTAAGTGCTTAAATTACGAGTAAAAGACATATTTGTCCCTAAATAAAAAGGGAAAAGATGTTAGTCTGGACAAAACTGTAAAATTTGTTTTAAATAAGCAACAAGTAGAAACTAAAGCAGGTTTAGCAACCTGCATTTGGCCTTTTTCTTTTGAAGGTGAGAAGTGATAAGCACTTAATGCCAATAGCAAACACCTAAATTACTCAAAATCATTTCTCAAAAGCCATAAACAGTTCTAATGAAGTTTGAAAACACTCACACGATAAAAGAACAGCTGAAAGCATTCACTCTGGTAAACCAACAAACTAAGAAAGACTATCTTCATCAACTGTTAGTAGCTATATCCCCAACGAAAGAAATTGGGGATTCGTTTCATTTTTCAAAGGTGATGTAATAGTCTAAAAGACGCTTCTTATAATGTTGAAAAACAATTGAACTTCTGTCAAAGAGGATTTTCTAAGTTTTGCAAATCCAAATTACATTGTGAAGGAGAGAGTGATCACTAGTCTAGCCTAAAAGCTTACTCCCTCTGTCCCATTTTATAGTGTCTGTTTTGGTTTATGATGTTTGACTTTATATTTTTAATTCCATTTATTTGAGAATTGAAGTAAATTAAAAAATATACATATTTAACAACTACATTAAAAGCTCTTCGAAACAAGAGATGACATGAGTACATGACTATATTATTTTATCAAATAGGTAGTGAAAACAATTAAAGAAAGTAAATAATGTTTAACCATGTGAATAATATACAGACAATTTAATTTGGGACAGAGAGATATAGGCATGAGATATCGGCTAAAAGGTTGGACAAAGTGACAAACACTAGTAAATTAGAGTGAACTATAATCAAACTGGAAAAAGGAGCAGTAAAATTAGGAGTGAACTGATGAAGAAGGCAAGACAGCAAGAACAAAGAGCAGATCAAAAGAAAGCAGCATTTAGTCCAAGAGCTCTCTTATTCATTTTTCTTTATTAACCAATTTATACCTTAAAGAAGAAGGCCAAAACCTCTTAATACCCAACCAATACTTTCTCAGGGTAGTGCTTTGATCATTAAAACAGTTAGTTTATATTTGACACCCCATTCTGTGCATCCAAGCACCCACTGAGAGAACAAAAATCCACGAAAACATCTAACCCCTGACAAGAAGCAATTTTATATTGTGGAAATCCATATAGAAAGGCAGGTGAAGACATTGAAGTACCACGCGGGCATAAAAAACTGAAATTGAAGTCAGGATAGAGCAAATTTTGAGGAATTGGGGAACACTTTTACCTTCTTCATTCGAGTTCTGATCTCTGATTTGCGAGCTCTGTTATACATGCGCCTCTTCTCAGATTGCCGCGCCCTTTTAGCAGCCGAATCAGCCTTCTGCTTGGACTCGGCTTCGCACACAATGGACCGACCAATCTGTCTTTGCAAGGGCATCAACTT